TTAATATTTTCTGATTTTTAGGTAGACCTTAGGCTAGTTGTTGGAGCCTACTTCAGTGTGGGTTTATTTTTAAGCTCTGATTTTGTCTTAGACTGTTCATCTCATCAAGTTTTCTCAGAATTTATATTGTTTCTAACTTTCTTAAATACTTAAAGAAGCTGCCTTTGGCTTGCAGCTGTCCTTGAGTTGGTCTATAGTTGAACTGGCCTCTGTAGTTTCAGACAGAGTTGATAATGATTTTTTTTTTTTTTTAGATGGAGTCTCACTATGTTGCTTAGGCTGGCCTTGAACTCCTGGGCTCCAGCAATCCTTCCATCTCAGTCTCCCAAGTAGCTGGGACTACAGACTTGTGCCACTGTACTCAACTACTATGAATGATTTTTTTTTTATTGTTAATTTCTACTTGTTGACTCATGCATTTTCGTAGGGTTAGGAAATAAATTTTCCTAGGAACTTGAGAGTTTGGGATCTAGTGCTGCATTCTGTTTTTATTTTAAGTTGATATGAATTTGCTTTAGTTATTCTGTCTGCAAAGTACTTGCCATCTCATGACGAAGGAGATTTGTGAATTCATTGGACAAACCTGAAAGTTTCCATATTATTTGTATTTCTGCTAGAAATCTAGCAGTTCTGCTGGAATCATAGGTTCTGAAGGGTTTTGTGATTTTATTCACTGTACCACTGGCCAGCTTTGTTATGATGTTGTCTTGGAGGTTAGGTCACAACTCCTTTAGAGGTGATGTAAGTAAACCTCTCTGGATATCATCCAGGTTAATTGCCTCAACTCTCAAGATTCAAATGAGTAAATGTATATAATATTTTACAAAAGTATTTGTGTACGTGCTAAATAAAATGACAGAAAAATTAACTCTTGAGTTTTAGTCTCCTTCATTCTTATTTTAAGAGGATTTACCAGTGAGTAAGGATCTTTGAGAATACATATCCAGAGAGACTTTTTACATCCTTTTTTCTCACTGGCTTATGAATACTTGCTGTTAATGGTCATTTTTCATCTTAATAACATTGACTATATTATGTTTTTCTCCTTAAAAAAATACTAGGATTACAGTCAGACAATGAGATTCTCAAATCAGCTGTTGAACACCACAAAGTGCTCTTAGTAGAAAAGGATCGTGAATTAATACGTAAAGTACAAGCTGCCAAGGAAGAAGGTTATCAAAAACTTGTGGTATTACAAGAGGAAAAGTAAGTACTTAATTACCTTAGTTTGAGTTAAATCTCCTTGCAAATGAAAACATTTTGCTGTCATATCATCTTTATTGTTGTTCTTGTAACATAATTATCATCTGTTGTTTTAGGTTAGAACTTGAGAACAGATTAGCAGATTTAGAGAAAATGAAAGTGGAACATGATGTCTTGAGGCAATCGGAGAAGGATCAGTGTGAAGAGAAATTGCGGGCTTCACAGATGGCAGAGGAGTCGGCCAGAAGGGAACTTCAGAGTATTAGGTTATATATGCATATATATTTTAAAAATTTTCATTTTGAAATAATGTCAGAGTTACCAAAATGATGTAAAAGTAGTATAAAGAATTCTCATATGCCCTTTACCCTGATTCCCCAAATATTAACATCTTATATAACCCTATTACATTAATCAAGACTAAAAAATTAAAATTAATATAATCAGGAAATCAAATAAACATTACTGTGATCAAATGTATTGACTTTATTCAAATTTTACCAAATGTCCCACTTATGTCCTTTTTCTGGTCTAAAATGCAATCCAGGATCACACGTTGCCTTTAGTTTCCTTTAATCTGGAACATAGTAAACTTTTGATGAATTCTGGTCAGTTATTTTGTAGAATATCTCTCAATTTGGGTTTGTATTACATTCTTCATGATCTTCATGATTAAATTTAGGTTATTCATTTTTAGCAAAAAAAAAAAAAGCAAAGTCATGTTTCTTCAATGCATCATATCAGGAGATCATGATTTGTCCCCTTAACTGGTGATGTTAACCTAGATCACTGGTTGAGATGGTATCTGCCAGATTTTTCCACTGTAAAATTACTACTTTTTCCCTCCGTAATATATAGCTATATTATGGCTCCCCATATGATACTTTGAGACTATGTATATTCTCATTGTACTTTCTTATCATACATTCTTCCACTAATTTT